GGAAAATTCAGTGAGAGGCGAATAATTCAAAAGGAGTGACTCATAAGCAGAAAGCCTTGCAGTCTAATCAACGTTCATTATTGTCTGCATAATGTCACAAACTTGAAAACAGCGTGCGTGCGTGCGTGCGTGCTACAATCAATAAAAGTCGTCTTTAGAGAACGAGGCACAGGAATAAGCCACTGCTTCGCAGCAGGTGATGATAAACAAGGATTATATATGCGTCATGCTCCGCCTCCAGCACTCTAGTATTAAGAGGAGCAATGAGGGAGATGGAGAGAGTGAAACAACAGCGCTTCCTTCCTGAGTAACGTCTGCCTTGGTCTATTCCAAACAGATCGTTAATGATCTCTCAGATAATGGTTTGTTATCGAGCGGCACACACACTGAAATCAATAAGAGCGAACTCTCCGATAAGAGCTGCAGCAAACATCTACTCACGGTATAGAAGCCCAGGTTCCTGAGCAGCGTCTTCATGAGGATCTCGGCCAGGTGGGTGTCAGGGTGTCCCGCCGTGTCGCTGTACGTCGGGTCTGGGGCGGCCGTGAAGCCCGGGCCGGAGCAGAGACCCTCGGGCCCGTCGGCCGGAGAGCTGTAGCCCAGGAGCGAGGCCACGTGGGTGTGGTCCTGGAGGCTGGTCAGGATTATGTCGAGCTGCATCCTCTGTGGCACAAAAACACACGTTTAAAATGAGACTGCTGACCTAGAGAGAAAAAACAAGCCGACAAACAGCACTCGGTGTTAAACTGGTAAACACGGAGGTTCATACTGAGGGGAAATAGTCCAATGTGCATTCAACAAGCCGGCCTCGGCGGCGGTTATCACAGCTCTTCTGATTTAGTCATATTTCATGAAACACTAGGTTTTTAAATTGTTGAGGTAACTGCACATTTTTTGCATGTGCAGAAATGTTCCATAAATTAACAGTAAATTTGTACTTTTAAAGGAACGTTTTGATATTTTGGAAAAGACACTAAATTTGCTTTCTTGCCAAGAGTTAACTGATACGATCGATATCACTTCTATATCTCTACATTAACGTCAGGCTACAGCCGCTAAACTTAGCCAGAAACACGCTAAGCTAACCGGCTGACCACTTAGAGGAACCAAACCAGCCTTTTACTCCACCAACACCACAACGTGAGCCATCAACCAACGGGGCATTTGTTAATCTACACAAACCTCAAGTACATCAATGTAAACCAGTGGCTGTGACCCGGCTTTTAATGTCTAACAATGAGATTAATGTATAAAAAAAAAAGTGCTCAGTTTTAAGCATATACGTCTCCACTGGAGTTCAGAAAATAAAACTCTACACGTGCATCCAGAGTCATGGATCCTGACAGGTGTGTGTATCAGGAAGCATAGCATACCTGTCCTTTGGAGAGACTCTCCCATCTGTCAGGGCCCTGAGGCAGCAAGGAGTGAAGGAGCTCCATCCTCTCTCTCAGCGGAGGCAGCAGCATGGTCGCCCCCACCGACAGAGTCTCGATCACCGCCTGATGGGGGCACACACAACACACACACACACACACACACAACACAAAGCTTCAGGTGGGGCAACAGATCCAGAGTTTGTTGACATGTTAAGAAAGTACTGTTTGGATGTTTTGAAGTAGGGTTGCATGAAGTACTTTTCCATCGTCAGTGTATGTGTAGACACTTAAATAAATTAAGATCAGTTTGTGTTATTCTGTGACTTTGGCTGGTTCGGATTCTAGAATACGTCCTCAGCAGAACATTGATTTGTGCGTTTCTATAAACTACTGTAGTAGAACTGTGACTCTGGAGAAGAACCTCATACAAATACTTCTAAACATCACTACTGTCTCTTTAATGTCCACTGAGCTAATCTCAATGATTACATACAAAGAGAACAGCTGAGGAGTGACAATTCAGATAAAATAGAATAAAACAGCTTTAATTACAGGCATGGAAAAGGTGACAGAGATGCTGCTGCAGCTCCGTGTTTCTTTAAGTGAGAACTTCATCCTAAATATGTTGTGTTTTTTCACAAATTGTCTCTGTTGTGAACCGTTTTATTATTTCTACTATCTATCTTGGTCTTTACTATGCTGATAATCCCCCCCCCTGCATCTTCTTACCTCCTGAATCTCGTCAGGCACTGAGGAGTCCATCAGTCTGAAGAGCAGGTTCCTCAGGGGTCTGGCCTGCCGACCTAAGATGCTGGTGGCCACGCCCCCGGCCAGAGCCAGAGCCAGATGATTGGACAAAAGCCGAAGGCACAGCTTGAGGAAGTTATGATGCTCCCTGCAAATATATTTTTTAAATGTATTTAATTTTAGCCACCACTATTGAATCTTATTGCCAAGATGACGGTGTGAAAGTTCCACATGTAAAAATCACAGACTTAAAAAACAAAAAAGTTAAAAACAAGATAAAAAAAAAAGTCGAGAGACTTAAAACAATCCAGTAAACTGCATCATGCTAAGACTTGTTATTCAGCGTCAGGACACATTCATTACAAATACGTACAAACTACATTAAAAATGAATTATATATCTCGGTATATAGATATAGATATAGATAGATAGATAGATAGATAGAGAACTTGTCACAAACAATCATCCGACGTCTCTGGTACCACATAGAGCCCAATATCAAGCTTCTCATGCTAGTGGAGGGTAATTAAGGTGTCCTTAGTTTTTTTACTTAACTATGCAACTTTATGTCATTTCAGACCATTGTTATTAAAGTTAACGCCCAAAAAGCTCAGACAAAAAAAAAAAAAAAAAACGTGCTATAGTTAAATCGTTTGTTAATTATTTACACATATCACAGCCTTTGTGTGAACATGTAATTCTTCTATCAATATGTTTTCCTTTAAAATCATACTCTGTGAATCAAAAGAGCAGATTTGTCATTTTAAATAAAGATGTTGGTAATTAACTGTGAATCTGATAATAACAACCCTCTTTCCTGGAGAGGAGGTGCTTAATTATACACGGTTATTTCTCTGTGTTTTCTCCACACCGGTCAGTGCAGTGATGGTGGCCGTGTGCGTTTACCTGGATGAGGGGAACGGAAGAGGAGGGACTTCACTGTTGATGCCGTCACAGTAGCGCTCGAGGAAGGAGCGCAAGTGGGAGAAGGTGCTTTCCTCCAGGTCGACACAGTAGGGCCTGTGCCAAGCCACCACCTGCCTACAGAGCCACAGGGAGTAAGTATTCATATATTAATATTAATATGAATATGAAGAGCTCTAGTGCTTCATAGGTGCTCCAGTGGAATGAATGTCAAACATCAAAGCTCTGGAGGGACATGCTGTTGTTGTCATTCAAACACTTTGTCCACTAAACTGATGAAGCTTGAAGCATTTCTCCACTGATTTAAACCAGCAGGAATAAAGTCGGGTTAGTCGTGCTCGTCGTTAACTGAACTTTACGTGTAGAATTGATGCCGTGCCTCAAAACCACTTCAACAAAGTTCTGCCTTACTCCTGTTTTCTAATGAATGCTAGTTTTCTACCGATCTATCTAAAGAATGCACTTCCTGTGAACACTGCATATCAAAATAAATGTGACACATGTGAGAGTTGGCAATGTGGTTTCCTGTTTTTTTTTTTGTCAAGAAATCTCATCACTTTACTTTGAAGGTTGAATCGACATCATCACACCAGACGCTGCGTATTGTTCCGTCGGTTTGACCTCATCAGATTTATCAAAATGAATCACAATATTATCATAAACATTGGATCAGTACATGTGTGGTACTCCACTGTGGTGTGATGGAGTTTAATCCAACATTGCAAAGTCAAACATTCTGATTTTTTTTCTCACTAATTTGAGAGCTCAATCTCAGAGAATATTACAATTTTTCTTGTTAATTAGTTTTTTCTCGAACATTTAACACTTTACTTTAAAAGATTATCAGATTTTTTTTTCACAACACTGATGTACCGTAACATGTTGTATAGTAGTGTCTACTGAAATCAGTTGACATGGTGTTTATAATGTTTTGACTATATCATCTCTTATTATATTTATAACTTTTACACATTAGGAGACAGAGTGACTTTCATCTAAAAGGTTAGATCTTCTATCAAGATCTAACCTCCTGAGACACTCTGTACTTTACGTCAGTAACAGTCAACATGACATTAACATCACACAGAAGGAAAAAGAAACTGCTGCACATTTCACGTGCAGTCACTGACCTTTGACCTATATTGTGCAATCCTATCAAAACCCCCCCTCCCCTCCCTGTGTGGCTATGTTTATGTTCAATGCTACCGTTGCTACAGCAGTTACTCTGATGTTGAGCTGACCTGTCTCTGGGCAGGGCGGTCCATGCCAGGCTGTGGGACGTTCCGGCTGAGATCTGCTGAATAGCGACTCCGTCCAGACCCACCACCTTCTTGGGTTTGGTGATCGGCCCCGTGGAGTTCCCCTGGCCACACTGGCCCATGGAGTTGTTGCCCCATGCGTACACTTCATTGTCTGGAGAAGTAATACAAGATTAGATATAGAATCTGTACTACACTGATCTGAAATATACGGTCTAGCTTCAGTTCAGTATTAGCCTAAACAAACAGGGTCTATGTATTTTGCTATTACATCATGCTACTTGCGACAGCTCTGTCACTTGTTTAACAAACATAAAATCATGATCACACTGTGACTTGACAAGAGGCCGTGGATTTAGCATGTTCAGCCACATTGATCCCCAAAACCCGCCAGCGGGACTGAAAAGCATGTTTCCTCTAAACAATCGCAGAAACTACACTGTTTATCACAGCCAGCTGTAAAAAAAAAAAACACCATTATCGTCTTTCTGACGGCCCTTGAACACATCATGTGCGACAAACACTTCCGTCTGAAAAAGAAACCGAAACAAAGCTTAAAATTGTGAAATTTCATCACCAACATTTTATTCTACATGTCTCCTTTAAAATCTCACCACAAATAAAGCTTTGCTTTTTTCTGTAAAAAACATTAAAGTGTGAGCTCCTCAGTGAAACTATGAAGTCATGATTGATTCATCTGAGACCAACAGTCATGTGACAACAAAAATCAGTGAAACTTCTGCACAAAAGACATGTTCTAGTTCTCTCTACTTCTAGTCATGATTGTTCTGTTTCTATAGAGCTGCAGGACTTTTATATTACAGAGAAAATCAAGACTACAGAGAGAAACTGTGACAAAAAGCTCCCCGAAAGAGAAGAGCAAAAGACAAACCATGCGACAGGGCCAGGCAGTGACTGTCCCCGATGGAGATGTCCACCACCCTGGTGGTAGCCAGCTCCTCGATCAGTTTGGGTCTGAGAGCTGTGGCCTCAGAGGAACCACATCCCAGACAAGCACCGCAGCCCCACGCGTACACCTAAAGAACAAGTGGCACCAATCAACATCAGCAGAGGAGTTATTCTGCTGCTCACATCGCAAATCATTTCATTTTGGTCTCCAGGAGTAAAATCAGTGAGGCTGTATCTTTGAGACAAAGCCTGAGAAAGAAGAGCTCCGTTACGTAACAAGTCATCACTGTCAACGTCCAACCGGCTGTCAGCAGGAATGCATAAACAGCAGTATGAAATTCCCTCTTTGGGACAAAGAGCCTTCATTTATTCCTCAACAAACCGGGCTTTTGTCCCGTCTTGGTTAACCCTTTAGGACTGCTATCATACCTGTCCGGTGGAGGTTAAGGCGAGAGACGACTGGCTTCCTGCACACACTTTCCTGATGAACATTCCCTGCAGGGCTTCCACTACTTTTGGCTTGTAGACTCGATTGGTATCACCGTGACCGAGTTTTCCTGCGGGACAACACGTGGTTTCACTTGTATGAGAGCATGTACTCACACTGTAGTACAATTTGAAGAAATACAAGACAAAACTGCAAGAATTATGTGAAGGCTCCTATTTAAATTCAATTTACAAGATCACTGATGACGTTTAACAACAAAGTCTTGGTGAAGGGTTTCCTCACCGTTGTCTCCTCCTCCGAAGGACCACACGGTGCGTCCATCCTTGGACAGAGCGATGGTATGAGAGCTGCCACACGACACCTCTCCCACGTTGCTGATGTCTTTAACCAGGGTAGGAATGTTTCGGCTGTTGCTGTCACCGTGACCTGCATCCCCCAAACAATGAAAGAAAACTTCAGACTGCTTACGCACAGAAATTACAAATGTGGAGTTTTATTTAGCTCGTTTGAGTGGAGGGTTAAAAAAAGTCCACGCGGAGCATCCGGCACACAGAGCAGAACGAGGTTGTTTTCTCCAGTATTAGTTCACAGCACTTCTTCCTGTCATGACTGGGTCTTTACAGGTTCATGGGTTCATGGTGGCTCATTCTGCAGTCAGGAGTACGTAGAATACTAAACTAAAACATTTAATGTCATCATGTATATACTGAAGGCTTTAATTACTAATAATAATAATAATAATTATTATTACAAAATCATTCCATATATAAAGAAATCAGAATCTAAACAATTATTATCATGCAAACTGCAAAATAGTAAATAAAATAACTTATAAATAAATAAGTTAGAAAAACCAACAGCTCTCTTTTTCTAAATAAAATATTTTAAGATATTTGCATCTATAAACGGACCACATCTCTCTTTTCTGTGCGGTAGCGACGGAGCCATCTGTAAATGGCCAGTTATTAGTTAAACAAATTTATGAGTCACAAATTGTTGTGTGTCATGGTGTTTTACCGTGTTAACGAGAGTTAGCTTGAGGGGTTATTAATAATAATAACTTTATGTATATAGCAACTTCAGAAACAGAGTTTACAAAGTGCTTTGACAGACAAAGCAGAAAAAGCGAGACAATAAAATAAGTGTTGTGTTACAAAGTTATAACCATGAGTGAGAAGAGTAAGAAGAGAATCTAAGAGCGTTGACAATCCCCCCGGTTGTACTGGGAACTACTTAAAAGTAACAGCTGTACATTAAAAGAGATCCTAAATGAGTTCAGCAACTTACCTAATCTTCCAAAATCTCCTTCACCCCACGTGTACAGCTCTCCATCCTCACTGACTGCAGCACTGTGTCTGTAGCCGGCAGACACACACACCACCACCTGACACAGAACAACAGACACACATCAGACTTAATCATCGGTTACTGGATTTAAAAGATGAAATAATGTGCACCATGTGAATAGAATAGCCCTACCTTCCCCTGGAGTGGCCCCTGGATCAGTTTGGGGTATTTCTGTGTTGAGCTGTTCCCGTGACCCAGTTTGCCGTAGTCACCGTCGCCCCAGCTGAACACCTCGCCCTCCGTGGTGAAGGCCAGCGTGTGGCCGTCGGAGCCCTTGGACGACGACACCTTCTTGATGGCGCGGTGGGGCTCAAAGGTGAGCTTCTTGAGCGTCGACTGGTTGTTGGAGTCTCCGAGGCCCAGACGGCCGTAGCTGCCTTTACCGCAGGCCCGGACGGAGCCATCGGACGAGATCACAAAAGTGCAGTACTGGCCCGCCTCAATCTGCAGAGAGAGAGAAAGAGAGAGAGAGAGAGAGAGAGAGAGAGAGAGGCGCTGTGGTAAAATCCTGTGGCGCTAAACTACAGCTGTGAAGGGTGTAGTTGTCTCATTGGTTGGTGGACTACGGTTTTTCAGAATTTTGGCCATCGAAATCTGAGGGGGTTCTGAAATCTGAGGCCCCGCCCCTAAAGCATCCCCTGCTTTATAATAATACACGGTTAATACACGGAGTACACTGGTTTTCATCAACAGAAGCTATGATCAAACACTTTTGTTGACAATAGTATTTCCATTAACTAACTAAAATATTAAAACTAATTTAACCTTGTTGGCAAGAATGATTTGGACGTAGATGCAACATATATGTCTCTGGTTGCAACCTGTCAATCACCGTGTAGACCCACCCTAAAGCATCTCCTGCTTTATGGTCTGTTTGACTCTAAATGGACCATAATGTACTAAATGAACATCATGCTGTATTGAAGAAGACTTGAAACTAGCGATTGAGACCATAAACTCATGTTTACAATGTTTACTGAGGTAATAAATCAAGAGAGAAGTAGAGTCATTTTCTCATAGACTTCTATACAACCAGAGGAGTCGCCCCCTGGTGGACACTAGAGAGAATGCAACTTTATAGACCTGGAGGTTGCCACCTGGATACAACACCCGGTCTCCAAGAAATGATGTTCCCATACAACTGAACTGCTTTCTCAACTATGTTTTTGAGGGAAACGTATTTACAGTTTTAAACACATTTTTAACGTTGTGAATTTCAACCTGACACAAAACAAAACAAAAACTACTGAAAAAAAATACTTTTGTAAAAGATCTTGCTTTGGCTTAAAACAAATGTTTGTTATGTATCTTAAATTAAGTAGGTCATCTGGGAAATGCAATTGAAAAAGGCAGTTTTCAAGAGACCAGGCTGAGCTAGTTTCTGATGATTATTTGATTTAATTTCCTGCAAATTCAGCAGCACATTAGGAAAAATGATTTTGTGCAACTTCATCTTGCAGAGAGGCCCCTGACATTATAAACAGATGAACAAAGGTTATGTGGGTAAGATAATTGTCTCATACCATCGATCCGTCTAACACAGCGTGTCACATTGTTTTGATACACAGCTGTAGTTCCGCTGAAGGGAGAACCAGTGCTGTTAATGCATGTCACACGTGTTTATGAAATGCTCTTTTTGTGATCATGCTGATCAGTAAAATTCATGCTCTGAAGAAAAACAATATTTTCCCCCTTAAAACTTAACCCGTTTGACAAAACATAGCTAAATTAATTTTGAACCGAGGTAATTTTTTACATTAATTACCTCGGTCATGCTTTGTGACTTTGTGCCGCGTCATCACGGTTAATATTTATACCACCAATGTGTTTATGGTAGAAATGTTTACTGGCACGCAGTGATAAATACTAAACGTCCTGCATTAAAAATGTTCCTGAAGTAAAAGTACAAAAGTATTAGCATTAAAATACACTTTAAGTACCAGAAGTAAAAGTACACTCAATATGCACTCAAATACTATATGTATCATTGGATTATAATTACTGATGCATTAATGTGTTCATCACTTCAATGTTGCAGCTGGTGAAGCTCATTTTAACTACTTTACAGACTTCATAATATACTACTTAATAATACTTCATAGTTCATTACTTTATTTATATTTTGTGTTTAGAACGTGAATCTGCAAAATAGCCAAACTAGTGACTAATACTGTCTAATAAATGTTATGAAATTAGAAGTATAATATTTCCCTCTGAGATGTAGTGGAGTAGAAGTATAAAGTTGCATAAAATGGAAATACTTAAGTACAAGTACCTCAAAACGTGTACTTGAGTACTTGAGGAGCATAAAAGCACAAAGTTACATTCCATCCCATGCTACAAGTAAATTGCAGAAGTGAAATTGTTTACAAGAGCACAAAGTTCTTCTTAATTCTGCTCTAAAGGGAACCAGATTGGTGCATTTAACTTTAAAATGTGCTAAATTTAAAATCTAGCCACCACAGTGTCAGAAAGCTTCAGATGCTCCCTCTCTAAACATGTGCAGACACACAGCTCTACAGAAGACTTGTGAACTGTTCTCTTACGGTCTGTGCGTCGGCGAAGCTCGCGGCCAGCTTGGGCTGCAGGATCTTCTCCTGCGTTCCCTCCACCAGCTGGTGGCTGCTGTTACTGCCCCACACGTAGACCTCACAGGTCTCAGACACCACGGGCGCCTCGCCGGTCTGGATGCTGTCTGGGCTGACGCAGGTGCGAGAGTAGTCCGACGCCATTCGACATACCTGAAAGAAAAGGACGCGAGTAAAGAACCGCTCCGGACATGTTTCAATAATCATTTGTGTCTGACGAGTTTCTTAAAATGACATCTCCTCCCTTTTCCTTCCAACACATTTTTGACTGGTAACTTACAGGAGTTACTCGTATGGATCTAAGTGAAGGCTATCCACTCCTTTAAATAAGCATGTTGAGGTGTATTATTTAGAGTATAATGATACGTAGAGTACTTCTAAAACGTCTTACTTCTTCTAAGAGACACAGTGCTGCCTCATACAATGAGCACAAGCCATCAGTGGTCCGTGTGGGTTCTCTCCACTGGCTGCGATCTGCTGAGGAGCCCTGAGACAGAAGAAACACATTTAAATATATAAATGTTTAGACCATAATGACTTCAAAACAATTACAATCATCACACTCAACAGGGGGCCTTTGTCACAGACCCCCAAAAGGAAACGTTAAACAACCTATGCACCTTTAAATCTGATAGGAATCCAAAAACCATGTGATACATATCAGACAACCCCGAAAACTTTGAAAAAAACGTAAATAACTCGTTTGAAAGCCTATGACATCATCATTGTTTATTTACCAGCATGTTTGTATTTGGTTGGTGCAGAATGTCAGTAGTGTTTTCAGTTATCACACCTTAAGATCATAATAGCTGCACTATAAAGCATACAGATGGATGAATTATTATTAGTTTATAGTGTTTTCCATAGAGACAAGAAAGACGTGGTTGGATGAGCAAAGTAAAGCTGCCGAGGCTACTGAGTCCTTGTTTAAGCAGAAGTTATAACAGTTCTGGTTTGAGTTATTAAACCACAAAAACAACACTTCCAATCTGCCAGCAGTGTTGATGTTTACTTACCAAAGAGCGCCTCATCTGCATGAGGATGTTCATGAAACAATCATATCCGATGAGCCCTTCTTGGTTCTGTAGCACCTTATTCTCCTCCATAGCACTGACCAGGGCTGATGCAGCCAAGGCCATCTCGATCCACTCCAGCAGGTAGCGCAGGGAGCCCCTCTGGGAGGCCAGCCCCAGCAGCAGCTCGGAGGCAAGCCGTCGCCCTAAAATGTCCGCCCCAGAGTTTGGCATGGTCACCCCCTTCAGGAAAGTGGTGACCTGGGCCAGGCAGTCCAGGCCCATTGGCGGGATCTTGCTCTCGTTGGCCAGAGAGAGGGGCGGCAGGGAGCTGACCACGTCGATGGCCGTGTGAATGACATCGTTACACAAGTTTATGTTGCCTCCGGCACCTCCGCCGGGGCTGGGTGGAGGAGGCATCATCCAGCTCTGGCGCAGCAGAGCAAAAAGAAGGCTGAGGCCCGTGCGGACGCCCATCTCGATGAGGGCGTCCGTGCTGGAGCGCGGCCGCTCGCTGACAGAGTGCAGATCGGCCGAGCCCGAGTTGTTCTCTGGAGAGTGCTGCTGCTGCTTGACCTTTCCTTTGTCGTGGTACTTGTTGGAAAGTGCGTAGAAGATGCGCTGGAGCACCAGCACACGTTTGCGCAGGGCTGCAGCGAAGGGAGAGTCGGAGCAGACCATCTTGGCCAAGGCCAACTGGCTGCTGAGTAGCGCGTCCAGGTAGTGCTCCTGCTCATCGCTGGAGAGGGATTCACGCTCAAAGTCCGGGAGCTGGGGCCCTTTCAGACACAGCACCTGCTGGGGCAGCAGCACGGCCTCTTTGTTGGCCAGCAGCTTCGAGTACAGCACCGACACTCCCTCCCGTGTGGCGATCGACTCGCTGTCCTCCGTGATCCACGAGCTGTTCAGGTGCTCCAGCCATTTGAGCTTCACCGGGGGGATCATCAGAGCCATGGCATGTCACTCTGGAGCCATCAGTCCTGAAAACAGACAAATTGTTAATATCAAGCTTGTGAACAGCAATTTGTGTTCGCAAAGGCTGTCTTTTCTCAACGCTATTTAAAATGTTGGGGAAAAACACAATAATCTTCAGTTTGAGGTTATTAATAGTTTCCAGTTTGCAAAATTGGCACAGACCTTGATCCATTCAACACTTCTTCACTGGATAATATCGTGAATCAAGATGAAGAAACAAACATTATGGACTTATGTGCTAATAACACAGATGAGGTCATCTATGTAAATATGACCTAATATATATATATATCGAAACAGAAAATAATATCTAAAGCTGCCCGATAATCGAGCACTGCTCTCAGTGAAAACTAGCCTGGTTGAATAAAGGTTTTTTAATGCTTTATCGTGCGATTTAAAGTTGTATTATTACTTGTACAAATGTTTTATATGCACACTGATTACATTCTATTTCATGATGTTTAGTCGTTTGTGAAGTTTAGCCATACATTTACAGACCAGCCTCGCTCCAGTCTGTATTGTAAACACTACACACATGTTGACCCGTGCATAACAGGTCAGAGACGTCCAAACTCTGCTTCAAAGAATCCATAACTGGAAACTAAAGGCATGCTTCTTTTTGACACCAGTTGCAATCTAGAACGGGTTCTCTGTAGGTAACCTTACTGCCTCTGGGTTTAAGTTGAGGTACGGCAGGTGTAAAGACGAGTAAAGTGTGTGTCAAAGCGCTGCTGCCCGCTAACAAAGTCCAAGAAATATGACCACGTCACTCCTATCCTTGCATCCTTACACAAATCCCTACATGTTCTCACCCTTACATATTCTTCAGTCTCTCAGCCCTTACAGCACCAGACCCATCGGATCCGCCCAATGTGGCCAACTGGCTGTGCACTGTTCGTGGAGAAAGGTGGAGTCTATTGATGCTTTTAAGATGCACCTTAAAATCCACCATTATTCTCGGGCTTTCAAGTGTGTTCAACCCGTGTTTGATTGTGTTTAAACTCGTTTCCAATTGTAATCTTGCTTTATTTCCACATATACACCGGATGTCTCTCTGCTTGTATGTGCTATATAAATGAGATAAACTTCTTCCATCATACCTGTTGTATAAACAAATACCATGTTTATCGTTGACATTTTGTAATCCAGCTAAATGCTTTGCTTCAGTTTATAGTGAAGGTGAGCGACTTTCTGCAGACACACTGGTGAGGCTACAGGCTCAACACTGCAGTTGTTTACAATCATATTGTAGTTGTGATTGTTCATGATACTCTCACGAACAAGTGAAGAAATACTGCACCTCCATTTGCACTATTACCTCCATTCTGCACTAATATCCCAAATCCATTGTTCTTTATGTTCATATATATATTCTTCGATGTATATTTATATTGTACATAGTAGTTGTTTGTTTATGCTTAGTTTCTCTGTTCTACTTTGTTGTCTTTAATGTCCTTGATTTTATATTTTTCTTGTTTATTTGTATATTCCATGTATGTACGTTGAGAGCAATGTGAAAACCGGAGTCAAATTCAATAAAGCTGATTCTGATAGGTAGCTAGCTAGCTACTAACCGACCAATCAGAATCAATTACGGGATTTAATACAAATTATGAATATTACTCATTATTATTTAGTAGTAGAAAAACAGCACTGTAGTCAAATGTGTATTAATAACTATATTAATAACTATTTTAGTTATTGTGGATTTTTTACTTATTTAATATTCTTTACTGTTTTATTACTTATTCATAATACTTGATTTTATTTTGGGGTTCATTCTATGTCTCTTGTTTGCACTTTCCTGTGTGTGCGCACACACACACACACACACACACACACACACACACACACACACTTAATAATAAAAACCTTCATTTGTGTGAAAAAGTGTTTGCCCCCTTCCTGATTTCTTATTTTTTTGCATGTTTGTCACACTTAAATGTTT